TCTTGGATCAAGAGAACCCATCTAATGAGTCTAGGCCTAGCATCTTTCTTTTCCATGAGATATTTAATAGCGACATGATCAGTGTGAATAGTAACTTTGGAATCAACAATATAAGGTCTATACTTATCACATGCAAACACAACTGCTAGGAATTCTTTTTCAGTGGTAGCATAATTTCTCTGGGCAGTATCAAGAGTCTTACTAGCATAATGGATAACATTCAATTTCTTATCGACTCTTTGCCCTAAGACATCACCTACAGCATAATCACTAGCATCACACATAATTTCAAAAGGTAAATTCCAATCAGGTGGCTGAACAATAGGTGCTATGATCAAAGCTTTCTTAAGTGTTTCAAATGCGTCTGCACAATCATCATCAAAGACAAAAGGAATATCTTTTTGCAATAAATTAGTCAGAGGCCTAGAGATTTTAGAGAAGTCCTTAATGAACCTCCTATAAAAACCGACGTGACCAAGGAAACTTCTTATACCTTTTATGTCCTTTGGACATGGCATCTTTTCAATAGCATCAACTTTGGCTTTATCAACTTCAATACCTCTCTCGGAGATCTTATGCCCCAAGACAATGCCTTCATTAACCATAAAGTGACACCTTTCCCAATTCAGGACGAGACTAGTGTCTTCGCATCTCTGCAAAACTCGATCAAGGTTGCTCAAACAATCATCAAAAGAGGATCCATAGACGGAGAAGTCATCCATGAATACCTCACAAATCTTTTCACAAAAATCGGAAAATATAGCCATCATGCATCTTTGAAAGGTAGCAGGTGCATTACATAAACCAAAAGGCATACATCTATAAGCAAAAGTACCAAAAGGGCAAGTAAAAGTAGTTTTAGATTGATCCCCCGCTGACACAGGTATTTGAGAGAAACCAGAATAACCATCTAGAAAGCAAAAATGTGTGTGTTTGGATAGCCTTTCTAGCATTTGATCAATAAAAGGTAAAGGGTAATGATCTTTCTTAGTAGCTTTATTTAACTTACGGAAATCAATTACCATCCTATAGCCTGTAATAATTCTTTGCGGGAACAATTCATCTTTATCATTAGGAACAACGGTAATACCTCCGTTTTTAGGGACACAATGGACAGGGCTTACCCATTCACTATCAGCAACGGGATAAATAATACCTGCCTCAAGGAGTTTTAGAATCTTATTTCTTACCACTTCCTTCATTTTGGGATTTGATCGTCTTTGAGAATCTCTAACAGGTTTGGCATCTTTCTCCATTGAAATTTTATGTTGACATAATGTGGGACTAATGCCCTTAAGATCATCCAGAGTATATCCAATAGCAGCTCGGTGCTTCTTCAGAGTTTTCAATAATCTTTCTTCTTCTTTCTCTGAAAGGTTAGCACTAATAATAACAGGATATATTTCTTTTTCATCAAGATACGCATACTTGAGATTATCAGGTAAGGGTTTGAGTTCAAACATGGATCACCCTTGGGTGGAGGGGGATCCCTAAGAATTTCAACGGGAAGATTATGTTTTAGCATAGGTTCTTGTTTAAGGAACACTTCATCTATTTCTTCCCTTTCCTTCATAAACATATCGTTTTCATGGTCTAGCAAATATTGTTCTAATGGATCAGTTGGAGGAACAGCAATGGAAGCAAGACCAATAATCTCATCCTTACTAGATGATTCCTTTTCACGATGTTGTCTACTAAACTTAGCAAAATTAAACTCATGAGACATACCATCTAAGCCAACAGTGACAATATTCTTTTCACAATCGATCTTAGCACTAGTAGTATGCAAGAAAGGTCTACCAAAAATAATGGGACAAAAATCATCTTGTGGGGAACCGAGAACAAGAAAATCAGCAGGGTATTTAATCTGTCCACACAAGACTTCAACATCTCTAACTATCCCAATAGGTTTAATGGTGTCCCTATTAGCAAGCTTAATTGTAACATGAATATCTTCTAATTCAGCTGGTGCAATATCGTGCATAATTTCTTTATAAAGATCATAAGGTATCGCATTAGCACTAGCTCCCATATCACATAAGCCATGATAACAATGATCTCTTATTTTAACAAAAATAACAGGCGTGCCTATAACAGGTCTATGTGTCTTAGTATCGGGTCTAGCAATATTAGCAGTTTCACCCACGAAAGAAATAACATGCCCATCTAAGTCTTCATCAAAGAGATCTTTTATCATAGCAATACTAGGTTCAACATTAATTTGCTCAGGAGGTGTATAAGTCCTAGTATTACTCTTATGAACAACAGTCGAAGCTTTAACATGATCTTTTATCCTAACAGGAAAAGGAGGTTTTTCAACATAAGTAGTAGGAATAATAGGATCACTATATGTAATAGTCTTTTCTTTGACTGTAATAGGTGCAACTACTTTCACTTCAACAAGTGGATTATATTTAAAACACTTCACTTTAGGGAGATCAACGTGAGCAACAAAAGTTTCATAAAAAGTAGCTACTATCTCAGAGTCAAGTCCATACTTAGAGCTAAATTCACGGAAAGCATCGGTATCCATAAAAGATTTAACACAATCAAACTTAGGTGTCATACCTGACTCCTTACCATCGTCGGAACCCCAATCTTCAGAGTTGTGTTTAATTCTTTCCAATAAGTCCCATTTGAAATCAATAGTCTTCAGCATATAGGAACCAACATAGGAAGTATCGAGCAAGTTGCGATTATCAAGAGAAAACCGAGCATAAAAATTCTGAATAATCATTTCCCGAGAGAACTCATGATTGGGGCATGAATATAACATTGACTTAAGCCTCCCCCAAGCTTGAGTGATGCTTTCTCCTTCGCGAGGCCAGAAATTATATATGTAATTACGATCACGATGAACAAGATGCATAGGATAGAACTTCTGGTGAAATTCCAATTTCAATCGCTTATAATTCCAAGATCTCGTGTCATCACATAGCCTATACCATGTCATTGCATCTCCCTTCAAAGATAAAGGGAAGACCTTCCTTTTGACAACATCATCGGGAATACCTGCAAGCTTAAATAATCCACAAACTTCATCCACAAAGATAAGGTGTAAGTCGGGATGTAACGTTCTGTCTCCTGCAAAAGGATTAGCTAGCAGTTTTTCTATCATACCCGAAGGAATCTCAAAGTGAATATTTTCATAAAGTTCAGTAGGTTGAGGAGCATCTCTTTGTTCCTCTGGTTTGGGTGAAGATACCCCAAACAAGCCACTCAAAGGATTAGTTTCCATAGTGACAAGTGACAGAAAATTTCAGCACACTATATAATTGTTTCCTTACCAAGTTCCACTCACCAAGAGCGCTACGCTCCCCGGCAACGGCGCCAGAAAAGAGTCTTGATGACCCACAAGTATAGGGGATCTATCATAGTCCTTTCGATAAGTAAGAGTGTCGAACCAAACGAGGAGTAGAAGAAAATGATAAGCGGTTTTCAGTAAGGTTTTCTCTGCAAGCACTGAAATAGTAGGTGATAGATAGTTTTGTGATAAGATAAATAGTAATGAGAAAAAGTAAATAAAGTAAATAAGGTGCATCAAGGTGGCCCAATCCTTTATGTAGCAAAGGATAAGCCTGGACAAATTCTAATAATAATGAAGGAGCTCCCGAGGACACATTGGGAATTATCGTCAAGCTAGTTTCATCACGTTCGTAAGATTCTCGTTCGGTACTTTGATAATTTGATATGTTGGTAGACCGACACTTGGGTACTGCCCTAACTTGGACAAGCATCCCACTTATGATTAACCCCTATTGCAAGCGTCCGCAACTACAAAAAGGAGTATTAAGGTAAACCTAACCACAACATTCAACATATGGGTCCATATGAACCCCTAACAAAGCAATTCATAAACTAGGGTTTAAGCTTCTGTCACTCTAGCAACCCATCATCTACTTATTACTTCCCTATTCCTTCCTCTAGGCCCAAATAATGGTGAAGTGTCATGTAGTCGATGTTCACATAACACCACTAGAGGAGATACAACATACATCTCATCAAAATATCGAACGAATACCAAATTCACATGACTACTAATAGCAAGACTTCACCCATGTCCTCAGGAACTAAAGTAACTACTCACAAAGCATAAGCATGTTCATGATTAGAGGTGTAATAATATGCATTAAGGATCTGAACATATAATCTTCCACCAAGTAAACTAATAAGTATCAACTACAAGGAGTAATCAACGCTACTAGCAACCCACACGTACCAATTTGTGGTTTTGGATACAAGATTGGATACAAGAGATGAACTAGGGTTTGAGAGGAGATGGTGCTGGTGAAGATGTTGATGAAGATTGACCCCCTCCTGATGAGAGGATCGTTGGTGATGACGTTGGTGATGATTTCCCCCTCCCGGAGGGAAGTGTCCCCGGCAGAACAGCTCCGCTAGAGCCCTAGATTGATTCCGCCAAGGTTCCGCCTCGTGGCGGCGGAGTTTCGTCCCGTAAGCTTGCCCACGAATTTTTCCAGGACAAAACTATTCATATAGCAGAAGATTGTCGCTGGAAGCCCACCAGGGGGCCCAGGAGATAAGGGGCGCGCCCTATAGGGGGGGCGCGCCCCCTGTCTCCTAGACAGGGTGTGGGCCCCCTGGCCTATTTCTTTCGCTCATAAATTCTTAATAAATCCAAAAGGTGGTTTCGTGGAGTTTCAGGACTTTTGGAGTTGTGCAGAATAGGTTTCCAACTTTTGCTCCTTTTTCAGCCAGAATTCCAGCTGCCGGCATTCCCCCTCTTCATGGTAAACCTTGTAAAGTAAGAGAGAATAGCCATAAGTATTGAGATATAATGTGTAATAACAGCCCATAATGCAATAAATATTGATATAAAAGCATGATGCAAAATTGACATATCACACTTGTATCGCACATGCGAGCTTCCTGTGTACACTGTCACTTGTTCCCAATAGTACGCAACCGTAGGGCACCGATATGGATCATCATCATGCACCCCATCATGATTACCTCGTGGGTTTGGCATGTTGGGGTTCTTAAAAATTGGGGCGTCCAACCAGGATCCGCTCCCACATCCACACGGATAGGCTCCAAACAAACCCAGCCAATGAGGATGTATCTCCCTTCCTGCGACATGCCAAGTCAAGCTGCAATCAAACAAACATGTTAGATATGGAGGCACATGACAAATGCAAGATAAATGATTGCAAATATCTCTTACCTGACGATACAAATATGCTAGTGCGGCCGAACCCCAGCTATACTGGGTATCCCAGTTATTGAGTAGCTCCAGGAACATCCACAGGGCTGAGTTCCCGGTTGCATCTGAGAAGACTACCTTGGTTAGTACATACCAAAGATAGGCCCGCGCGTACTGCTGCACAACCACGTCATTGGCACCCTCAGGGCACGGATTGGTGTCTCCTTTGACTAGTTTTAGCCAAGAATGCCTCACTCTCGCGGTATCGGCCTTGCCTTCTTGAGGGTCGTCGGGCTGAACACCAATTAAAATGCATGCCCGTTCTCGCCAATTAACGACGCTGACACGACCGGTAACAGCTTGTCCGTCGATAGGAAGGTCGCTTATCATAGCCATGTCCTCTAGGGTCATCGTCAGCTCCCCACATGGAAGGTGGAACGAGTGAGTCTCCGGCCTCCAATGATCCACAAGTGCGGTCAACGTCGCGTGGTTCACCGGCGGAGCGCGTCGCTTAAACTGCAACACGAATGGGAGAAGACACAATCTCCGAATATAAGGCTCGTACCGCGGGTCGTAAGTAAAGCCATCAGCGGAATGACCCCTCATGCGCATAGCAACTACAAGCTACAAATATAAAGTGATGTTTTGATCAATACATGAACACAAATGAGAAACAAAGAAACTTGACAAGTCTTGCTTCTTACCTTTCCGTTCTCAATGGCACGAGCACGATGCTCCTTATCCCACTCATCGATTAATCCGGCATACCAAGGTCCATCATCATCCGCCATCCTACAAAATAAATCACAAACATCTATGAATATATGAACAATATCAAACAATAAAATTTCCTTCTCCAAGTTATGCCATATGAACACACCATTCTTCTCAAACATAACAACATCATTTCTTTCTTCTTCATATGCACACATATCATCTAGAGTACCAAACTTCATCATCAAATAAATTTCATAATCATCATCCGCCATTCTATTGAACAAATCATGTCACGCACAATTATCAAATTTCATCATCTCTTTTGCAAAAAAAATTATGCCATCTATATATTCAACTATATTGTCATACCACTTCACACATATAATATTTTTTCTAAATATATTTGCTTGCCAAAGTAGTCTTCTCATATTCAAACAAATATTATGCCATCTATATATTCAACATATAGCTAATTTACTAGCACATGCATACATCATCTATAATTCAAAAAAAATCACAAACTATGTCTATTGGTGGACAACTACAAACATCTACCAACTACACTACCTACCAAATCATCTATCAACTACAAACTATTTCCTAAAATAAAGAAACCATCTACTAATCTAACATCACCTAATGTGAAATAATGCATCCAAAATGAGAGGGGGAAACCAAAACAAATTGGAGGGAATAGGGGAGAATACCTCAAGGATGCTTGGGGGCCTCAGATCCACAATTTTGGATGGAGGATGGAGTAGATCAAGGGGGGTTTGGTGTGAGGGAGAAGGGGGCGAAGGAGAGAACCCCTCTGTTCGTGCACCGCCAGGGAGAAGAACATATGGGTGGGTGGGCTCGGCCCGCGGGGGTTATCCACTTACCAGGGCCAGACGCCAGGGTCCTTGGCGTCTGGCCCCTTTGCCACGTCAGCAGGTCAACGGGCAGGCGGGCAGTGCGGGCCAGGGGCCAGACGCCAGGGTTCATGACGTCTGCTTCGCAACCCAGACGCCAAGGATGTTGGCGTCACCTAAAAAGGTCAGAAACGAATTTTTTTCTAAACGAGGTCAAATCATGATTTTGTTAGCCACATAGGTCAGAACAGTAATTTTGTCCACCTCTCACGGCCAACCCCTGAGAACCAAGCGTCCCTTGACCCGCTTTGACCCTTTCAACCAACGGACGCACGGGCCGACCTCATCTGCTGTTCAGATTCCATCCCATCCAAATCCCACTCTCATTTTCCAGTAACGGCGTCACCCTCACCCGACCGATCCCGTGATGTCCCGTGCATTCTCTTGGAGGGCATAATAACCGGGATAAACAAACAAACCCAAGGCCCCTGGACGCCCCCCCTCCCCCGCGCGTTGGCCTTAAACAGCTCTGGATGAGCCAGCTAGCCCCCATCCCGAAAAAGGTCGGTGACCTCTGTTTTGCATGCGCCGCGTCCCCTGCGACGTCGACCGAAGCATATATATATTTCACTCCCGGAAAAAGTCCATTTTAAACCCTGAATTTGTAGAGGTTGGGTGAAACGAACCCTCAAGTCAAAATCCCTGTCGATTGCACCCTGAACTATGCAATCCCGGTCTAAATCAAACCCTGACGAATGTCAACCGGGATTTCTCTGGCTGGTGAGCCAGGGCTCTGCTGGGCCACCCCATTTATTCTTTTTTGTCTGCAAAAAAATTGTTTTTTTTCTGTTACACGGGAGCTCGACCTGACGCACGCAGTGGCACCTGGCTGGGCCGGCCCATGGTGTACGATAACGTCCGTACTAGCGTCACAATTTTTCTTAAAAAAAAGTAACGTAACAATTTGATTGTCGAAAAAGATAAACGATTGCACCCTGAACTATGCAATCCCGGTCTAAATCAAACCCTGACGAATGTCAACCGGGATTTCTCTGGCTGGTGGGCCAGGGCTCTGCTGGGCCACCCCATTTATTTTTTTTGTCTGCAAAAAAATTGTTTTTTTTTCTGTTACACGGGAGCTCGACCCGACGCACGCAGTGGCACCTGGCTGGGCCGGCCCATGGTGTACAATAACGTCCGTACTAGCGTCACAATTTTTCTCAAAAAAAAAGTAACGTAACAATTTGATTGTCGAAAAAGATAAAACAGCAAGTCCTACAATTCGAACTACGGATCTGTAGATCCCAAGGACACTTGCTAAACCAGTCAACCTAACAAGCCTGTGTTACTAAACTGGAGTGCGCAAGTTTAAGAAAAAAGTTAAGCGCAGAATCAGGGCGGTTTTTTTAGTATCCTTTCCTGCAATTTTTTTTAAAAGAGAGTAATGTTTGAAAATCTAACAATTGTTGAACGCGTGAAACTTTTCCCAAAGAAAGTGATTTTTTCCCGAATCCATCGAATTTTCTTTTGAAATTCCGTGAGCTTATTTTCAAAATCATTGTACTCCTTCTAAATCTGTGAACATTTTTTTTCAAAAATTGTAAACTTTTTTATTTTAAAAATCTGGTTCACGATGTTCTTATTTTTCGTTTGCTATTTCCTACTAAGATGGCCACCGATTTTATATGGTATAAAATATTTCAAGCACTATTGACCATGGAGTGTACCCGTCCTCCGCGCTGGGCCGCCCCATTTTTTTCTGTTTCACTGCTAAAGAAAAGCGCGCACCTTTTTATCTAATTCGTGAACCTTTTTTCAATATGCTTGTTTCAAATTCATGAATCTTGTTACAAAACCCATGGACCTTTTAATATACATTGAATTTTTTTAATACACAACTAAAATTTGTTATATACACATTAAACATTTTTGTGATATACGCTAAACAATTTGTAAATACATAACAAACACTACAGTGATATGTGCTAAACAATTTGAAAATACACAATGAACATTACTGTGATGTATACTGAACAATTTGAAAATACATATTGAACATTTTTTCATATATGCTGAACATTGTTTTTCATATATGTTGAACATTTTTAAGTACATAAATGAATATTTTTTATTATATGGACATTTTCTTAAATATACGATGAACTTTTTTTAATAACTGATAAACTCTTGTATAATGCACAAAAAGGAAGAGAAGTAAAAATAAACAGAAGAAACACAGCTTGTTCGCCATATTAAAGTATCATTAATGATTAAAAATGCATGATGAAACATTTCCTTGTAATGTATTAATGGAAGAAAAAGGAAAAGGAAAAAAAAGGAAAAAAGATAAAATAAAACAAAAAAGTCAACAGCAGAAACGAACTAAAAAAACAAAGCAGTGAACTAGCAATATGCGCTGCTGCGAAATGGGTGTAGCCACTGCTGTTTGCTGCGCACGGGCGGCAAATAGGAATACGCCAGCAATCCCGGCCATTCTTTGCAATCCCTGTCTGGCAAACGGCTCCAGGGTTTGATTCATACCGGAATTATATAGTTCAGGGTTGAAACGACCGGAATTTAGACTTGAAGGTTTGATTCGTCAAAGCTCTACGAGTTTAAGGTTTAAAATGGACTTTTTCCTTTCACTCCCCCGCCTCACTTGTTCCCCATCGCTTCAAACGACAAACACCAAGCCAGAGACGTGAGCTTTGTAATAAAAAAGAAAGAAAAATAACTGCACCAAAAAAGAGAGTCAGAGGACGGGAGCGACTGTGAAAGATTAAGTGTGTGATTAGCAAAAGGGCATCATGTGTTAGTGCAGTCTGTCAGCGTGCTCGGAGAGAGCCGGCCAGTCCGCCGCTGCACGGAGGACTCCCCTCGACGCCGGCCGGTTCGGGTGGTCCACGACGGCCGTCTTTCTCTTTGCTTTGCTTGTCGAGACGAAGCAAACCCATGGCGCTGGAGTGTGGGAGAGGTCAGAGGTAGGTCCGCAGGCGCGGCGTCGAGAGAATCAGTTTAACACAACATGCATGTACAGGGCTGGGTTTATACGACGTTCTCTACGTACTGTGAATTGTGATTAGCATCTTCAACGCGGCGACAGAGTACTGCCGTGCCATCTGCTACTTCAACGCAAAGAGGTTTTGACATTGTTGACGTGGACTATATACAGGATAAACAAAACTAGTCCGATCTGCTGTGGACGCCCCGCGCTCCGGGCGAGCTGTCTCCGGTCTGGCACCGTCGCTTTCACCCCGGGCGTCTCGTCAGCCAGAGCGAGTCATCTCCACTCTGATGCCCCGTCCGCGCCAGCCTTTTGTTTCTGTTCCAAACCGGTATCGTTGGATTCATTCCTAGGGTTGGGTGGGACACCACGATGGCAACGTTCCAGCCTTTCCCAACATGATTCTCATTCTTTTGGTGCCTCACTAAAAAACCTACTATATTCGATATGGTGCTTAGCAGCCGGGATAGATACTTGAGTTAAATTATTATGTATGCAACTTAGCTTGTTTACTAACCGCAAAAAGAAATTTAACTTGTTTACCTTGAGATGTTCAACTCATCTTGTGTTTTTGCCCTAACCTGTTTAGCAATTTTACTCCCTTATCATTGTACAATTTTTTTTTTTGCTTGGACTGAAAGCTGCTCTTTTTTTCATTTCTGAATTTTTAAGTAACTTGGTTTTTAATGTTACACATTTGCCGTTAATTGTAATACAACATGTAAGTTGAAGGTTTCGGAGGAAAACTACACCATCAAACCTTTTGCCCATGAAAATTATAAAATGTACCATTCCTACATCTAATCACACAGGCGGTGGTGCGATTGGATTGCGCCTATGTTGTCGCCGGTTTACACATGAAAGTACATGATTGCTCTCGGTTTGGTCACTTGTTCTGAGTTGCTCTCGGCTCGGTCATCCATGAGTTCAGTGTGCCAATCGAAGAAGGTTGCTCTTCGGTAAAGTAGTTTAGCTTTGTCACAATGTCCATTCGGTGGTGTCACAATTGTAGTTTTTTTTTTTGCGGGATAATTGTAGTT